AGTGATAAAGGCATTGCATTATAAATATACTTTATTTTAATGAAAAGTATAATAATAATAACTCAGATAAACCATATATTGTCATAATCGTGTGTTTATTAGTCACGTTGAATCAATAAAAGCAGTTATATCTTCTGTTTATCCAGCTACCGCTAATAAGCATTTCCTGGCTTTCTTCTGCGAGGCGTATTTGGAGTTTCAGCGCGAGAGCGCCCTCTGGCCTTTGGATGGAGATTTACTGCTGATCACAGAACTGTGCTTCACTGAAAGATACGCATGACAATCGCAGCTTCTGTCGAATCGCAATTTCGATTCCATTTCGATTTATCGTGCAGCCCTACTACAGAGGATCCATTGGTGAGCAAGTGCTGTAACGCTAAATTTCTCTAAATCTGCTCTTGAATGGCTTGAGGGTGAGTGAATTTCCAGCAAGTTTTCATTTTTGGGTAAACTGCTCTTTTAAGACAGATTCCACAAATGCGGTTTGGGATGATGGTGTTAAAGGCCGAGCTGAAGTCCACAAACAGGATCCTCACATACTGTAAGTCCCTGGTCTGTCTAGATGTTGCAGAACATAATGCAGTCCCATGTTTACTGCATCGTCCACAGACCTGTTTGCTCTGTAGGCAAACTGAAGAGGATCCAGCAAGGGTCCAGTGATGTCCTTCAGGTGGGCCAGCACCAGTTTTTCAAAAGACTTCATGACCACAGACGTTAGAGCCACAGGTCTGTGGTCATTAAGTCCAGTAATTTTGGGTTTCTTTGGGACGGGGATGATGGTGGAGCGTTTGAAGCATGAAGGGACTTCGCACAGCTCCAGTGATCTGTTGAAGATCTGTGTGAAGATGGGGGCCAGCTGGTCAGCACAGGATTTCAGACAGATTGGTGTAACACAGTCTGGGCCTGGTGCTTTTCTCCTTTTCTGCTTCCGGAAGACCTGGCGCACCTCGTCTTCGCTGATCTGAATTGCAGGTGTGGGGGAGAGGGGGGTTGCTGGAGGTGTGAATGGTTGTGTTGAGAGGTGTTCAGGGCGGGTGTGGGGTGTCTTTTCAAACCTGCAGTAATTCACTGGATAATGTTAACAAACAAAACATCGTATTTTATTGCATTTCTCAACTGGAATGTTATATCAGAATTATTAATAATGTTTTTGTCCTTCTAGATTATGAAATGCCTGCTGACAGCGCGGTTTATCTGTGCAGTTACACAGAACTATACTCAAACTGCGATCGCTCGCGGAGATAATAAATAATTATTTTTCATAGAGTTGTATTTATTTCGATGTTTATTAACTAAATAATGGTTATATAGTAAATGTAAATACAGTGTGTTTTAAACAAGTGAATCTTGTTAAAAGTTACATGCGGTGGCCGTGCTGGAGCATTTCCTGAGCATCAACCGCATCAACCCGGTGAGTGAACAGCAATATGAAAGCGGCTTCACGAGACTAATGATGAGCAAATATACAACAGAGAGAGAATTCAATTCAGTGCTTTTATTTCCAACATGCGCACATTCATGGCTGCATATTATTTAATTCAGGCAAAGTTACATCTTTATTGGGACAGGACTTGACGGATTATTTTACATGACTCCGTGAGTTGGTCTTTATTTCTTATAGCCAAGCTGCATAAACTACATATCAGGCATTTATGTAATGCATCTAATTTGTGCATTAATGGCTGTTATGTTAAATAAAGTTTACTAACTACAGCAAATCAAGTACCTGCTGTTGTTGTTGTCTCGTCTCCCCTCAGACGGCTGCAATGGCGATCCTGCACGCAATTTTCAAAACACCCACAAGATGGCGGCGTTTATCGGTGAATCCGATATTACAAAACCGATATCCGATTATGGTCAAATGCTTAAATATCGGGAAAAATATCGGTAAATCAATATATTGGTCGATGTCTATTCATTACAGTGTTTGCTCATATCTTCAAACAAAGAAGACAATAAGATAGGGTCAGGAAGTGAAAGCATACACTCTGCTGGCACAAGGCAATGCCTCCATCTCTAACAGCAAAGGGGAAAGTCCCCTCAGAAAGAGCGACAGCACTAGAGAAAGCCAGAGAGAAAGAACAGACACCTTACGCAGCCCTGTAGACCTATATATTTTTTTTCCCCCTGTTGCATTTCCCTTGCCTTTTCAAACATATTGTGTCTTTTACCATGTGAAGTCACAACACTTTGTGGGTTTTTCTGATACTATGCTGTTTTGTGCAAGTGCAAGAAGCATCTTGGTGCGGTTCTTCTCTGATACCTTTAGCACTCTGTTCTAGGAACTGCAGAAGTCGCCTCATGTTCACACTCCTATGCGTTTCCTAAACACTGATTACTGTATGCACAAGACGGCCAGCTTACCATTCTGAAATGATCACAGTAAGGACCGTCTTATCATTTAGTCTTCTTCTTTTCCTTTTTTGTCTAAAGTAATTTTGTCTAAAGTAAGAGTGTGTGATCTAATCTCTCAGTGTCCTTCAACTGCAGAATCTCAAAAAGCCAGAGGCTTAAGGGTCAGCTCATGTGCTCTGATTGAAACTACTTACCTAAAAAGGTTTTTTTAGAGCAAATTCATGATTACTCTCCTCTTTTAAAAAATAGAAAAATGAAAAGGGGATAGCATACCGAGGTGACAGTCAGGCCAGACATTAACTGTCTGCTTTTGATCATCAGAGCAGGGGAGGAGCGCTCCAGGGCTATTTCTGTCCCTTTTTCTGCTTCTTAAATTAAGAGATGGAGCGATGGTCTTTCATCTTAATTCCCTATTCGGGTGATAAGCATTGGTCTCATCCCATCATCCTTTGAGGGACCATTATATCATTCCAATGTGACATCGGCAAAGTTTCTCTCTATTTCACTCTTAAAAATAAAGGTTCCAAAAAGCGCGTTTTCAGAGCAGTGCCAAACAAAGAACCTTTCAGTATCTATGAATGTCCCATCAATATTTTTTGATATATTAAATATAAGTGTTCTCTCTGCTTAGATTTATGCAGGATAAAAGGCTTTGTTGCTCACTTTTCCAACTGACTTAAATGAAAACTTTTTTGTATTGTTTATGTTTATGGTTTTCTTAAAGCCCCCATGAAAACATTCAACAAGCACTGTTGTCTTTTCTGTGTTGACATGGATCATCGTTTTTTTCTCTGCACTGTAAAACCAACAGTTTAAATTAATTAAAATAAATTAGTTTGTTTCACTCAAATAGTACTGTATTGCATTATTTAAATTTCTTATTGCATTATTTAATTTTCAGTTTTTCTTATATTAGTGTTATTATTTCATCTCTACTGTGTAATTTCTATGTATGTCTGCACTATCATGTATGACCTACTGAAAGTTAATTGTACTTAATAGAAGAAAGTATACGTGAACTCAAAATCTGATTGTAGTAAGCTGAACGCAAACTGACTGAGTTGCAGCAGATTTCTAGTTCCCAGCATGCTTTGTGTTAGACTGTAGAAGGAGAATAAATGATGAGATGAAGTGTTATTTTGTGTGTTTTTGCACAAGATGAATATAGGAAGAGATGTTATCGGAAGGTTTAAAATTCTGCTATGTTGGGGTTTACAGGGGTTTCAGTTATGTTAATGATTTGTAGGGTTACCACTGTGGTGAAGAGTAGTCATTACTTTTGATTCATTTTCCGGAAAGAGAATGATTGTAAATTTTTAATGCATATATATGTAAAGTGTTTTTCAGCACAATAGTTAGTACAATAGTAAGTAGGTAGATGACCTCAAAGTTAACAGACATTTAATAAAATCCACAAAACTTTCTTTATGATTTTTCAAATAGTCTGTAGTCATCCTCTGCTTTCATAAAGCATGGTGGCTTGTTTAGTGCTGTTATGCTGCACTGTGATCTCGTTCTGTTTGTGAACAAAGGGTCTGAATGTAGTGGAACGGTATTGTGAGCACTAGCCACATGACATTTGCCCACCTAGAAGTTACAGTGGTATGCAATTATAGTTGTGCAGTTGATCTGCTCAAATTACCATAAACTTTTAGCTTGTAGCAGATACTGGCATGATGATATTTTGTGGTTGTATTTGGCTCTACAGAATGAGCAGAGTTATATAGCATGTTATTTATTATAAAAATAGAAAAGAGCAAAACAACAGTCTGCCCAGTTGTGTTTTGAAAGAGAACTGTTTTGAAAATGTTTTTATTACCACTAGATTGTATCAATATGAAATAGCATCCAAGCAAATAGGGGTCCACATTTGCTCAAGATAAGACATTTTTTTATATTACAACCCTCTACGTACACCTTGGCAATAGAATCACTATTGGCTTGTCTCAGCCTCCAACGTCACGCTGCTGAACGTCTGATGCATACAGCACACACAATTGGAAACACTTCGGGAGCTTCCGGGGGTTAAATTATACAGGATTTCAGGGTTTACTCGCATTGTAGAGGGTTGTATTATCAATGTTCACAACAGTTGTGCTGATTTATTGTTTCTTGAAACAATGAATATAGTAGAAGCTGTGAATATATATATATATATATGTGTAAAACTTTAGTAACATTATAAATATCTACTGTCAAAATTGATCAATTTGATGCATCATTAGTGTATAAAAGTATGAATTTCTTGCACAAAAAACTTTTGAACACTAGTGTATAAAATAAAAGTAGAAAAATATAGAAAATGTATTAAGTCACAGTAAATGACTCAAAGACTATTTAAAGCCATATGTTTTAAAGTTGATGTTAACAATACAAATGTCACATTATTCAGAATTTTTTTTTTATATATTATTCCATTTTCTTTTAATCCCAAAAAGGCATTACACACATAAATGATTTTTAGATTTTATTCTACATTATAGCACATTTTGTAAAAGACTGGAGAGGGGCACTAACTGTGGTGGTTAGGGTTGTTCACAAGGGGGAGGGCTGGCCCTATGAGAAGCACTTTGATATTGCACTGTTGATGAGAGAGAGCGTGTGCAGAGCGAGAGAGAAGCAGAGCGCTCTGTAAACAGGCTGTCAGAAAAGAAAGTGCAGGGACATTTTCATCCGCTACAGCCAAAGGAGAGCGTTGCCTACAACACTGAAGGATAATCACGAGAGGGAGAGAGAGCGCGAGCGAGAGAAGGTTTAATTAATTCATGCAGGAGGGGAGGGATGTTTCTGCCGCTGACTGAGCTGGTTCCAGCACTGTCTGTAGCATTTTGTTTGTGAGCCCATCCATGCAGTGAACGTGACAGCACTCAGATCAGGCAGGATTTGACGGATACGCCATCACCTGAACAAGCAGAGGTAGGGTACGATTTGTCCTTCTTTGTCTCACGCACATCTGTTCTCTGCTCGCTCACGTACCGATAAGTGCTTTCTGCCGAGCCAGTGACCCTTGTTTTCCTCTCACGGTGTCTGTTCTCTTATGTAAACACTGAAAGCCTGCATATCAGATACTGTCACACCAAAACGTGCTCATTTATCTAGCTTTTTTGAATTAATTGGTGTGCTTTGTCTTTATTTTGGTTTTCTATAGCTCATCGTCTCACAGGAGTTGATTTAGGGTGTTTCCTGTGCTTTCTAGAGTTCACGTGCAGGATGTTGCCTGCTTAGTGCTTTTGTTATGGTCTATATTGTCATAGTTTGTCTGTCATGTCAGAGCTGAGTGCAGATAGTGTTTATATTTCACACTCAGTTGAGAGATCAATGCCCTGGGTTGATGGATAGATGGCTTGTTGATGGATTCTGGTGATATGGGGGGAAATACAGCTCGACCATTTGACCAGGTTTGTTTGTCATCTTCCGTGATGTCCTGGAGCAGCCCAAATCTCTGTTGTGAGGGAATGTAGTCATTTTTTATGTGTGGGATGATTCATTCTCTTCACAAACCTGTGCTGTCATGTAATTGGGAGATGCTGGTAAATCTCCAATCGGCTTGCTTAATTACAGCTCATCATGTAATCACCAAAGGCACAGGGTCTTCATGTCTCAACAGGATCTGTGGAGCAGGAACAGCGTGAGCTGTGTGTGTGTGTGTGTGTGTGAGAGAGAGAGAGCTTTTTCACTGTAGCTGATTGAGGACGTCAGACTTCAGAGAGGGCTGAATATTTGTTGAAGCTGAATGTTTGTGTGCATGTTTGCAAGTAATTAGATATGCTCTCAATTATTAGAAAAAGACACGCTGGGTAGAAACATAACGGAAAAGAGGAAAGATTGCTCATGACACACTACCCAAGGTCATAAACAGCAGTCAGCCACGGAGTATCTTAATGGAGTCCACAATAAAGGAGAGCCTGAATAAACACTCACTGATCATACTGTTGTCTTTGGCTTGTCTCTCATCTTTACTATGCTGCTCTTGGGTAGATTAATATGTTTCTGTCTGTTGGAGAAGCACAGTGATTTATCCTGGTGTCCTCACTGGAAGCACACATTACGAGAGCAACTCGAAGGGTCTGTGTTAGTGTGGAAGTTTTCAAAACAAATAGAAAGGGAGCATGTTGTTTTATTTTAAAAATATATTATAGTGCTGTGGTTTTCAGTACCTTAGTGTATTTCCTCTGCCTATTTCCACGTCATGATCAACTACTGTACTGTCATTCCTACAATAATAATAATAGTAATAATATTATTAAATGTAACTAAAATTGTATGTGAATATAATTAGCTGCAGAATGTAAATTGCATTTATTTCATATAATATTTCTTATATATTATCATTGCATTAAATATTATTTTTCAAACTTTTCTGAATTCAGAAATATTGCTTTAAATATGTTTCTTTTAGAAATATATGTAATCTTTTTCTCTTTGGTCTGGCTCTTTTTCACCTTTGGTCTGCCACTTTGTTAGCACTCTGTTGTTGATGTTCAGTTACATTAATAGATATTCAGACCGAATTGAAGGGCAGTAGGTTTCCCTTTAGCTGGGAATCAGAGCAGGTCTTGCCTGGCTTTTCCATGTCATTGCATTGCAATTTCGAACCAAACCCTCCTGTTGCCATGACATCCAACCTCTCTGTAAATGCTCCCAGGATTTTTTGAGCATGTAGGGCCCAGGAGAAGAGAGGGGGGGGGTTAGAGGAAAAGATTGCTCATGTTTTTTCAGCTCAGAGTCACTTAAGGAATGGTAAAAGGCTAAATTTATTCCCTATTCTGTGTTCTTCCACTCATGTATGAGTAAAAAAAAAAAAAAACTTGAACCTGCAATATATAATTGGATGTTGCATGATACCATTTTGAGAATTTTTTTTAATAAATATATATATATATATAGTTTTTTGTGTGGAATTATATGTTATGTCTGCATCGTTGACATTTTTTTAATACTTCATTTAAACATGAAGTATATCTTTACATGTTTTGTAAAGATTTTCTTGTTTTTTCAGCTCAGAGTCACTTAAGGAATGGTAAAAGGCTAAATTTATTCCCTATTCTGTGTTCTTCCACTCATGTATGAGTAAAAAAAAAAAAAACTTGAACCTGCAATATATAATTGGATGTTGCATGATACCATTTTGAGAATTTTTTTAAATATATATATATATATATATATATATATATATATAGTTTTTTGTGTGGAATTATATGTTATGTCTGCATCGTTGACATTTTTTTAATACTTCATTTAAACATGAAGTATATCTTTACATGTTTTGTAAAGATTTTCTGATTTGGCACAACTGCAAAGAAGCCCACATGCCTAAATAATGGGATATTTGTGTTTTGAGATTGATTGCTTTATTCATGCCCATTTAGCATTGCTTAATTTCAGCAGTGCATGTCAAATGCATGTACTGTTTCACCATCCATTACATTTATTTTGGACCATTAATGATATTATGCTAAATCTCAGTTCAGTCAAACACTTTAGTAATGCATAAGTGGTAAATGCAGCTGTAAGTAATTACAGTTGTGAACATCATAAAGATGCTTTGTGGTTGCTCGCACTTAGAGAGTCATCGAGTTGTGTTTGATGTGAGAAAACAAGAAAACTCTAAAGCATGTCATGTAAATGCATCAGATAGGCCTAACAGTAATGGAGTGAGCACCAACAGGGATGCTAGTTAAACGCTTCTGTCTGCTCTTTAGGTAGGGTGACCATACGTGCCATTTTCCCAGGATGCGTCCTTGCCAGGATTTGGTTTTGCTTTGCTTTTTCCTGTTTTCATGCTTGCTGAAGGTAATGATCGAAAAGTAGTTTGACCAATAACATGCAGGTATTGTACATAATGGACCAATCATGGTGTTTGTGAGAAAGTGGGATCTACGGTCAAAGCGATGCAATTACGCGTACATAGGATGTGTGTTCGACTTAAAAGCAGCGCGGCTCAGATCGATCAGTGTTTGACATCAAAGTACCTCGAGAGCATTTTGAAAGCATAAGGAACCGTCTGTATGGTATTTTGATGTCATACACCGATCGGTCTGCACACGCAAACAAAGCCAAAACCTAGATATTTGAGGCAATATAGAAATCCTGGCCAGGACGTGTCCTGGGAAAATGGCACGTATGGTCACCCTATCTTTAGGCCTGGACATGCTATGCTGATTCTGCTTCTGTGAAATCAATAGGAAAAAAAATAGTCTTTACCCAGACAGCAATACGCGCACAGGCCCAGAAGAAGATCCATACCTAAATGCCCTCAGAGCATCCATCAATCAGATGACATTTCTGCTCAAGTTGTATGTTCTAGTGTGTGTGAGATGTTTGGTTGTTTCTTCTCTTTCTGATTTGTTCCACTGTTCCTTCTGTGGCCATAAATGTAAAACAGGGCTGCACCATGGATTTGTGGGGCCCTAGACGAGATCATGAAAATGGGCCCTACTGGTGTACATAGATGTTCATAGAACCACTGCAAACATTATGAATGTTTTCTTTTTTTAGGGTAAAATGTATATGAATGTATTATGTAAAGTGTATATTTTAAGTCCTGCAACTGGTCCAGTGTTGTTCTTGTTAACTAAAACTAAAACTTTTAAAATTAGTTTTGATTAATTGAAATAAAACTGAATTGAAATATGCATGTTATATAAACCTGAGAAAAATTTGACCTGGCAACTAACTGAAATAATGTAAGTTTGAAGTAAAGTTGAAGTACTAAAATTACTAAAACTGAAACTAAAGTAAAAGAGAATCAAAGCTTAATATAAATGTTAAAATAATGAAAATGACAAAAGCACATAAAAGTTCATTCAAAATATTAATAAATATTATAGAAGTAAATAAATAATACTAAAATAACACTCTTTCCCACCACCAATATACATTTTAAGGAACTTAAAATAATATATTTATAAGTGTGTAGAGAGGATGTGAAGCGTTATGATTCCCACAGTCAATATGGATATAGGACATCCCAGGGCTGATTATAAAATTGCTGTTGAGAGTGTGGCATTGACTATTACAAACTTGACCATTTCAAGAAAAATGCATTATTGTATGTCGTTAATAAAACATATTCCAAATGATCATAGGTTCATAATACATTTTCTGTTTTGTACTGCCTTTAGCAGTCTACACACAACAACAACGACAAAAAAAGACTCAGTGTCGAAACTCTATATTATGATTCCCACAGTCAATATGGATATAGGACATCCCAGGGCTGATTATAAAATTGCTGTTGAGAGTGTGGCATTGACTATTACAAACTTGACCATTTCAAGAAAAATGCATTATTGTATGTCGTTAATAAAACATTCCAAATGATCATAGGTTCATAATACATTTTCTGTTTTGTACTGCCTTTAGCAGTCTACACACAACAACAACGACAAAAAAAGACTCAGTGTCGAAACTCTATTTACACCTACGGTTCTCTCACACACATAGTGTGAATATTGTAACCTATTAATATGAGTGATGAAATAAATATGCACTGCTTGAAACAGAAAAACAAAAAAATATATTTTTGTTAGCACAGATGTTATCAGGTTAACCGTCCAGACTTGTTGCAATTTGTCTTTTTTCCCCTTCCTATTTCTTTGTACGCTCATGACTGGGAGTTTCATGGGAAAGGCCCATTTCTGTCAGTGAAATGGACCTATCAGGTCTCCTCCAGCATCTCCCCTATGGTTTGATAATGTTTCATTTTTAGCAGCCACTCTCATCCACTTTGTCAGAGCTCTTTCTGCTGGCTGCACGCCAGACCGCAGAGACTATTTGTGGAGAAGTTGAGACAAAAATATTACACCATACCTTATCATACTTCAAACTGTGACAAGCAACTGTTTGTGGGTTAGCGAAACTGTCTAATGAGTGGTGACGGGTGCACATGGCAGCGCTGCTGTTGGCTCTGACTG